AAATTCGCCTAACGGGTGTGTTATCTTCCATTTAAATATCCCCTCTTCCTCTTTCCTCCCACTTCTTTTCCTATCATTCAATTAATTTCCTTCTTCTCTTTCTTTTTTTTTTAATCGAAATTAAACGAACGTCATTCACGATGATATAATAATCGTATTTCAATTTGTCTAAGATAATTTTGATTTATTACGATTTAATACACGGGCACAAATTAACAAATTTTTATTTAACGAAATAATTTTGAAATTCTTTGAAGTTCGACTTTAGATATTTATATATAGAAGAAGAAGAAGAAGAAGAAGAAGAAAAAGAAAGAAAAAGAAAAAAAGAAAAAGAAAAAGAAAAGAGAGAAAGAAATAAAGGAGAAAAGAAAAGAAACATAAAGAGGAGGAACAATTTCTTATAGTTTCTTTTCACCATTTAGTTTTTTTATCTCCTTGATATAATCGTACGAAAAAAAGAATAGACGTAAGAGAAAAGGAATTATTAAAAATGGGGAAAAAAAAAAATGAGAGAAAAGAAAAGAAAACAACAGGAAGACAAAAAGAAGGAAAAAACAGAAAAGAAAAAGAGAAAACTTAAGAAAGATGCGTCTTGATGGTACACCCTGTATAAACTGTACACATGTGTTAACCACTTATACACGCGATACACGTACACGCTCGGACAACGAAGACGTGGTAGTTAAATCGAATTCCCTTGGTGTCCTGTGCCCAGTGGAGACACAAAGCGAAGGTTGCTCGAGTGGATGGGTCGCCCTGGGCGACCATCTAGCAAATTGTGGTATCTAAGTGCTCTCGCTGGAAACGGGCCGCTTTATCGCACCGCTCCTCTCTCCTAGAGAATTCCAAATTTCGGAAAATCGTTTTGCACTTGCTCCAAGAATCGTCTGGCGAATCGTCGCGTTTCCTCCTCCATCTCCATCTCTATCTCCTCCTCCTCCTTCTCCTCTTCCTCTTCCTCTTTCTCCATCTCCTCCTTTTACTCTTACTCTTGTCTATCCATCTCTTGTCCCTGTGTCTCTTCCTCTCTGTTTCTACTCTCGGCAATAAACCGCATTATTTTCGATAGTTGCGAACGCAATGTTACGAAATTTCTTCCTTTGTACAGTTTATACTCGACGTTATTATTTATTTGTACTCCTTTGAATATAGTCATTCTCAATCGTTTTTATTCTTCTCTTTCTTTCTCTTTCTCTCTAACCATCTCTCTTTTTCTCTCTTTCTCTCTCTCTCTCTCTCTCTCTCTCTCTCTTTCTGTATCTCTCTCTTTTTGTCTGTTTCCTTTCGTACGACTAATCATTAAATAATTAACTCGTTTCAATGTTACACGAATACGAGAGAGAAAGAAAGAGATACACAGAGAGAGAGAGAGAGAGAAAGAGATGGATAGAGCGGGTTTGAAATTTTATTGTACATTATATTAAATTCTAAGGAACTATTTGATTTGTATCAAACTTACGTTACAATGGTGAGATTTGTTTGATTTTAATCGAAATAAAATGGATGGACTTATTATTAGATTAAAATTAAATCTGAGAAACTTGTTCCCTTCCGTTACAGGCTAACTATGAATGACATGTTAAATAGAACATGATGTTACAAAACATAAGAGGGAAACAATAACGAAGAGGTCACGTAATGATACTCTATGATAGATGTTTGTTTATATATATATATATATATATATATAAAAACTGATGATGATGAAGAAAACAAACGTGAGTAAGATGTAAAATCTTTACAATTATGTAATTATCAATCTATGTGATAGAGACGTTCATTGAAACATTTATTCTAATATGAACGATACGAAATTGTGAATATTATTCAATCGAAAAATTCAATTTAATAGTAACAATTTTTGATAGACGTTTGTTTAAATAATTTTTAATATGAATTACATGAACAAATTCTTGAACACAATTCGGTCTAAAATCTTGAGAAAACAAAACAAAGAGAAAAAAAAGAAAAATAAGAAATTGAAAAGGACACAAAAAAAGAAAAACATGGCGATCGCAGTTACGAGATAATTTCTCGTTAAACGTTAGATCCAAATGTATTCTAATAAAAAAAAAAAAAAAAAAACAACGATCAGAGACATACGTAAGAGAATTTCTAATAGACGTACATTGAAATATATTTTTGTAATATATATTCGATATCTGGAATATTAAAAAAAAAAAAAAAAAAATATATAAAAAAAAAACAAAACAACAACAAGAAAGGAAAAAAAGGAAACAAGGAAAAAACAGAGAAAGAAAGAAAGAAAGAAAGAAAGAAAGATATAAATTAAAAGTAGATAAATAGAAACAAAAACATTCTATTCCTTAATATACCGTAAAAATGAAATTAAAACTAAGTTAAACGATTAGTATGTCGAAAAACTATCTTAATATCTAGTTTTACTACGATCTAATTAATACTTGGCGTTAAAACTTTCGTGACAGCTCGTTTAACAGGAAGAGTTAACGAAGTGTGTATATTAGAATTAAAAGTAATAGATACATGTTCTCTCGAAGAAGCCCTAGATATGCGTCACGCTCGATGTCTCTAGCCTAACTGTCGATTGTTATGTTTTCCTATCCTCCAGTTGAGTTTACGCAACGTATCTATGTACGTATGTGTATGTATATAAACATACACACATACACACGCACACGCACATGTAAACCAAGTTTGCTTCGCTTTCTTGTCATTATCATAAATATCGATCGAGCCCATTTCTTCGTAGTATTGATTATATAAATACAAATCTAAACAAAACAAAATACTATTCCATTTCGAATCATTTTATAACGCATATATATATATATATTTTTTTTTTATTTATTTATAAAAATATCTCTCGTATGTATTATGTTCAAAATCTTTTTCTTTGTTTTTTTTTTCTTTTCTCTCTTTTTTTTTTCTTTTTTTTTTTTTTCTTTCAATCAAATAAATTTCATTGAAACAACGCGAATTCTTTATTTCGACACTTCGTTTTATCTATAATTTCGATATTAATTATTAAAACTATATTGTGAAAGAGAGAGAGAGAGAGAGAGAGAGAAAAAGATTTTAAATTATAGAAAAAAAAAAGAATAATAAATAAAGGAGCCACATTGATATATGAAATGAACAACAAATTCGAAAATTTCGTAAAACTTTTTAATCGCCGTATTATATCTGTATTTGTTAAATTTTATTTTTAATTTTATCGCCCATTGAATGAATTCTTTTTTCATATCAAAAGATCTAATGATCTTTTAAATACAATTTATACTTGGTACAGTATAATTATATATTAAATATAAATAATCGCATAACTTCAACATTGCATATAATGTTTGTTATAAATTGTGAAAAGTAAAATTAAATTATTGAGATTTAAATAGAAATAATTAGAACGAATAGAGACAGATCGATTTTTTTTCTTTTTCTAAGAAAAAAAAAAGAGAAATAAAGAGAGAGAGGAAGAGAGAAAGAGAGAGAGAGAGAGAGAGAGAGAGAAAGAGAGAGAAAGAGGGAAAGAATTTAGTTATCAGTTATAATATTTGAATTTATAAAAAGTATATATAAATATAACAATATACTTTTATAACTTAACGAAAGTATAAAAGTTATAAACACACTCTAAATACTTTACACAGTCACGCTCACACATGCTCACACTTTCTTAGTAAAGGTATACATATACATATATACATATATATATATATATATATATATAACTATGCTTACAATATAACATATCATTAATAACATGAAAATTATAACTCCAATGATGATATTACAGATTCGATTATAAGTGATTAAAAAAAAAAAAGAGAAAAAAAATAAGAAAAAAGAAAAAGGAAAAAAGAAAAAGAAAAAAGAAAATTAGTACGATAAGATCGATCTCTTCTGATCTCATTCCCAACCCTTTACCCAACTCTCGATTTACGAATTATACCGACATTATTCTCGGTAGTCGTTTCTCTAGTCGTACTAAGAAACAGAGACGATGAAAAAGAGAGAGAGAGAGAGAGAGAGAGAGAGAGAGAGAGAAGATGGAGAGAAGAAGAATAAGGAGAAGGAGCAGTAGGAGGAGAAGAAGAAGGAGGAGAAATTGGAGGAGGAGGAAGAGGAAGACGAAGACAGAAGAGGTGGTGTTCGAGCTCTTGCGCAGCGCGATGGTTGCATTATGTGGCGATGGCTTTCCATGGCATTCAACTAATTCCAGGCTCGAAACGTTCCATTAAAGATTCAGCATGTAATTGCGTACGATCGTAGAGATCGCCCCTTCTTCTCCCTCACCCTCACCCTCACCCTCACCCTTTCTCTCTTTCTCTCTTTCCTTCTCCTTCTACTCTACCTCTTGATACTTCTCGAGCAACTTCACTTGAGAAAGAGAGATCTTCTTCTCCTTCTTCTTCTTCGTCTTCGTCTTCGTCTTCTTCTTCTTCTTCTTCTTCTTCTTCTTCGTCTTCTTCTTCTTCGCTATAGTCCAACTGCAGACTCGGGAATCATCATCGAACCGAATGATCGCGCGTAACCGTCGTACGTGAGGCAATCAAAGGACTGCGTGCCTGCCGGAAAATCTGCCCTAATGACCGCTCAGACTGCCCACCTGGTGGTCCCTATAGTACCCTCAAACGACACTCCTGTATATCTATATCTATATTTGTATTTCTTCCTTTTTTACCCTTCTCCCTCCTTCCATCTCTTTTCTTTCATTCTTTTTCTTGTTTTCTTTCCTTTTCTTTTTTTCTTTTCCATTACGTCTCACGATTTTATATTTCGTAAATTCGTAAAAATCATAGAAAAACCTTTTCGTCTATTTATCATTGGCTTTTTATCAAATTAACAATCTGTCATAATTTTACAAGTAATAATAATAATAATAATAATAATAATAATAATAATAATAATAATAATAATAATATATACTATTATTATTACTTTCAAATATATATATATATATGTGCAGAACAAATAGGGAAAAAACGAACAATGGATGAAGGAGAATAATTACTACTTTACCGTACTGTTTCTATTACGTCTGACCCTGCGGCACAAAGGAACCTCC